GATTACCAATGTGAGGGTTAGTTTAGCTAGATAATGAAAAATTAGTTAGGGACATGGTTACATTTAGATGCGGTATTGTGGGTTATTATGAGTAATGCCTATGTATGAGTGCAGCTGTTGAAAACAAGCAGGAAGAAGATTTCCCCAACTTGCAGCTTGATCTGAATACAGGTATGAGGAGAGGTTTAGCAGGACTCAAACAGAAACAGATGGCTCGGTGTTACGCCACAGTGGTGCAGAGTGATTATTTTCGACGTTTGCCATGTTACAAATTCCTCCCCTCCCATTACACCACACTCGAGCTTTCCGTTTCACCAGACATGAAATGAGCTGCATCTTCCCTCCAAAGTTCAGATGTAAGTAAACAAACACAAGCCTCTCTCCTGCACCTGATTTCAATAGCAGCCGCTTTGACTTCCAAGATCAAAATCAAAAATGTAATTGTAAATCTCCAGCTCCATCACAGCCTTCAGCCTCGGATTTTTTTCTTGCCCGGAGTTGGCAGATCGTCCCCAGACTTTCATTCAATTCCCTGCCTCATTCCTAACGACAGCAGGTTTATTGTTGCCCCTTTGTATGATTTATAGAAACGGCTCCTGTGCTGCTCTTCCAGGCTTGGCTTGTGATGAGGTCTCTGGAAAGTAGTGTTAAAATCAATTCCTTCTACAACCATGTTATGGTGTGTGAAGGGGAATTTTTGATCCGTAAATCAGCGCGTTTCCTTTTGCAAGGTTCTAATGTTTTCATTTTCCCTCTTGTTGTGAATCTCTGATCACTTTCACTCCCAGCCAAATCTCTATCTGTTCCTTCTTTAGTCTCTCATAGTCCCCCCACTTATCTGTTAGGCTCTCATGCCCCATTCTGGTCAATTTGTTACTCTGACTTGGTGTTACCTTACTCCGGTCTTTCTTTCCTCCTCTTAGTGTTTTTCCTATTGGATCATCCATCATTCTGACCTGTGTATGCTGTAGAAACCAGGCGCGCATGTGGGTAAAAACGTGTGCTTTTCCTGTCGAGGAGCTGCAAGTTAGCATGCAGCATCTCCAGCGGGCCATTATGACTTTCACAGGGAGTGTTTGCTGCCTTCTGCGTGTGTGATCTCCTTAAAACTTGTTAGCAACACTCATCTGCTCTCTCGTTTCCCTTTCTCTGACATGCGCCCTTCCCTCCTCCTCCTCTTCTCTCTGTCCTCCTCGAGATTCATAAAAGCATTTCTGCGTTATTTGATTGGAGACACACTCCAGGATTATCGGCCCAATTTACACAGAATTTGCAGATTCAGGCAATTAGAGAGCAAACGCTGATGGTTTGAAAGCTGCACGCTGCAAAATGTTTCTGCCCATTTAAGAGGTTTGTACAGCTCATTTGTAGCCATCTGAGGTATTTAAACGGTAAGTAGTGTTTGATATGTGCGTCCGTGGTGAACAAACGCTGACGCTGGTTTGCAGTCTTCATCTCGTACGCTGCGTCATACCTGAAGTTTATCTCTGTGTGAACTGATTTTTGACTTTTTGGATAATATTGAGCTTTTGTTGCTCTTCTTTTGGTCTAAATACATGAATTTCACTGTGGAAAGTCCTTTTGGAATTTTGCGGGAAGTTGCTGCAACAGAGGATTTAAATTGTTTTAGTATAACAGTAAAAATCTGCACAGCCTCATTCATCAAATGAGAACTTTTAGATATTTATGTGACCGTTTAGCAGGAATAGTGTGGACAAAAGGAGTTTATACGAGCCAAATGAAGATGTTCAGAAGATGACACTCCAGTAGGTCTGCGTACATTCACCACAGCATTAATCAGGCTGTTCTCATCATTGTTAGCCGTGTGGCTGGCTAGGCAGGACCAGATCGCAGGACTCAGAGATGGGGGATTTAAATCTAAGAGGCAGTTTTATTTGCTGTGATGAAGAAGTAAGATGTGGTACAAAAATAAAAAATAAAAAAACACTAAAAGAAACAAGACTAGAACTAAGACTCTTGCAACCAGGACACAATAAAGGAGCATGAACTACACACAAGAAACACACTGCAAACATGGAGACCACAACGACCAGAGTGTGACTGAAGACTTAAATACACATGCAGGATAACGAGGGGAAACAGGAGAGAAACACAGCAGGAACAAATCAGACGTAACGAGAGAGGGGAAGGAAAACTAAACAATGCATGCACGACAAGAGACTATCATAACAAGACAGGAAACTCTGAGGACAAAACAATAAGGGAAACTAAACCAGAGCCACAAAGATAAACACAAAAATCAGAAACTCATAAACGTAAGAAAACTAAACTAGAAAATATGAGAACTCTAAGAATACCACAATAATGACTTATCAAGATTCAAAAAAGTCCACAAACACAAAACACTGGGTCAGAGACCCACAACCATGACAGTTCTGTTTGCTATTTTTAAACATATGAAATTAGGGCTGTGCAATAAGACCAAAATCTCATATCCCGATATGAGACATTTATTGTCCCGACAGAGATATAAATCACAAAAGTTTTACATTTTCTGTAAATTCTGTGAATCTCGGGTAACTTGACTCGTGTGAAGTGTTTTCAGCTGGGCGTCGTGTACCTGGAATCGAGTGTTTTCACCGATTCATGACACTATACATTTTTAGACATAAGTTGTAACAGGCGCCATTTTCTTTGTGAGCATTTATTACACGGCGTGCTGCGGGGAAAAGCCTGTTTTAACGTTTCAGTCTAAGATAAACTCTCTCCATGCTCTTTTACGTGACTCTTGCGTAGGTGGTTGAAGGGGTTTGCTGTGTTCGAGTCTGAGGTGGGGACCAGTTTCCTGCATAATTTGCATAGTACAGTTTTCTGGTCCGTGTCAGACTTTTCGTAACAAAACCACGTCCATGCTACAGAGGTAGCCCCTCGTTTAGAAATAAGGTCCTCGATTTGTTTTGACTGCTCTTCCTGTTTGTCATCATTTCAGTTTATTTTGAAAAATCTCAACAGGATCTTCAGCTTTATTGTGAAAGGTTTATGTGGAAAATAAACAAGTGGACGGCGGAGCCACACGCTGGGTTTACTGTCATTGTTGCTAACAACAACGCAGAAAAACAGTCGCTTATCTGTCTGTAGTGTGGTTATTTTAAATATAAGCGAAAGCGAGAGCTTTAAGAAATTAATATAGACACTACAGTGACCATCAAAATCATGAAAAAATATTGCCGTAAACGGTTTATTTTGCGACACCACGAAACAAACGATAGCGTGATATGAAACAATAGACGTTTTCATATCGTCATCCGATATATATCTTATATCGAACAGTCCTATATGAAATAGCAAATAAATGTTCATTGAGCACCTATTAGGATTTAAGTTGCTTTTTAGACAAGTGAACATATTTCTTTAGCAAACTGATTCCTTTTAAGAAACATTGCTAATTCAGAGTCTGTGATGTTGCTGGATTTTGTCCCACTGCATCTCTAACATGTGTCTGATGATCTTATTTGGAGGCAGTAATGTGGAGTTATATGGCT